AAAAAAATAACCCTCAAGAAACAAAAAAACCTGTAGTTTATAAGAATCCACATCAGTGCTCAAATCAGGAATACAATTATTATCTATCAAAATAAATACTATCTATAAACTAAACATTAGCAACAAAAAAAGATGAAAAATAAATTGGTCTTTAGTCAATAAACCATACATGTACAGATAAACCAATTCAAAGAAATTAAACACTGATTTATCTTCTTTCCTAAATTCTTTGTATTTCAGCTGATTTTCTAAGTCACAAGATAGATGCAAATGAGCAAGGACTATTTAGGTACTTGTACTGACCGGCTCAGAATCATAGCAATAATCATCCCAGCTCTGTCTGAGGGGTTTCTTTGTTATCTGAAAGTAAGGCAGATTAGTTAGGTAGTAGTAATGGTCGTTATACTTCTCTAATCATCTCATAGGTGTAGTGCTCAGGCAGCTCTGCTGCTGTACAAAGCTATTCTGTATAGCACCAGAAAACAAGAAACAACTAGGCAAATATACAGATTCTGAGAGACTGCATATTATTATAACAAGAGATGTATACAACTACTCAATCCCATATTCTGTGAATACTGACCTTGACAAGGATATGTATGGTATGGCCACTGACTACACTGGAAAAGAGTTAAAAACAAAAAAAACTAGATTTCTCTAACAACAACCAGCTCACTTATGGGTAATTACTACTTTTTAAGAAGCAAAATATTTATCACCCAAATTTAATGCTTACAGTTTAAACAAAGGAAGAAATAACTCAGAAGTTAAATTTAAAAAAATGTTTAGGCTATTTAATTCTGTAAAGTAGAAATGCATAGTATTATTTCAGGAAGTAATATTTTGAATAATTATGAAATTCTCAACATTAATATAAAGTAATGCTATATTATATAAATATGCAGTTTCAAAATTAAGAAATACCAGCTTTACAGAATGCTTTGTATCTTGGGAAAAGTCTTTAAGATGTTACTTTCCTTTATATCTTGGGAAAAGTCTTTAAGATGTTACTTTCATAATCTGAAATACATACTATAATCTTTGCGACCCATCATCAAAGTGTCAATTTGCTCCATGGACATTATATCTCACCTCAAACAATTAAAAATATAAGGAGAGACAATATGCTACTTAAACGATCTGTAGTACCAGTTCCATCAATACTGGATCTAGAATTTCTCTGAATATGAAGAATAAGATTGGAAAAACCAATATAATGAAAAGTTGTGAGAATTACTCCTTAGTATGGAAGTTTAGGAGTGAATTTTGAGCTTCAAGGAAAGACACAAACTCACCAAACCATTTTCTTTGATAAATTTCATACTAAATGTTTAATAGGATCATTTGCTAAATATAAAAAATAATCATACTCTCAGTATCATAATATCATGCAAAGCTGTACATGCATTAGATTTCAAAACATGCAAATAAGGTTTCAAGTAATCCCTTGTAAAGGACAGGTATTAATCATTAGTAACATTTATTATTAGCATGCCATGGTCTATAAAAAGGTAAATGACTTTGGAAAGAGTAAATTATTTTTCTAATATGTAGGTATCTATAAGCAATTTATTATCCTCTTAAATTAAGAGTCTCACAAACAGAAAAAGGCACATATCTAATCTTTTAAAACTCATATGAAAGTAATAATAAGTTTTAAGTTTGAGAACTCCATCTTACATCACATATGAAAATGCTAGTTAACCTCCATTACCAGGTTCAGGAAACAAAGTACTAGAAAAATACCCTTTTCTCAAGAGCTAAAATTGAATAATGCCCTACATTCAGAAAGTTTTTCATCAACTCTCACCTGATTGAGATAATGATATCCTTCTGGTTGTTTAAGATGGAATGCTAATCTCTCTTCTTCACTTGCTCCTGCCAGGAGGTAATAGAATACATGATAGTTCCTGTTGAAAGTAAAGAAGTATGGCTTTATAATGAATATGATTTATGGGCTGTCATTTAACAAGAAAAAAGTTAATTAGTAAACTGTTTCAGTTTTGATTCATTTTTTTTTAAACAAAGATGATAAATTCAATTTTTAAGTACTACAAAATAAAATGATGTTTCGGGAGCTGATTTCAAGAGAGGAGTTAAAGGCAGCAATGTGGAAAAGTTGAGACCTCAGAAAATTCTTTCCTCCAGAAAATCAATTAGAAAACCGCCAAATCTATCAGAATCTACTTTTTCATATTTCTGGGAATTAACCAAACGATTACAGTGATCCAGGAATGTTTACAGAAGAAAAATAGCTAATCTCAGTGAAAACAGCAAGCTTTGTAGCCTTTTTGTACCTGCCCTGTTCCATATCCTGCTCACCAGATGCACAGTAACCTTCAAAACCAACAGTTTAGGATCATAGTGGAAACCAAAAGCCTGGCAGCCTACAAAAGAGGACAGACAGGTTGGAGATTGTACAGAGTCTCATTTCCTGAGAAATACCATTATTTGAATGGTCTGGTGGCTCCCTGGAAGAAGCACGTTCAAACCTGTCTGTATTTGACCTGACTCAGCAATAGCCCAGTGTGTAAGTATTTCCCCCAGGGGGCATTTGTAGAAAACAATTACAGGCAATTTTTTTAACATGTCAACTGCCAGATGCAGTGGATAAATACTGGGGCAAACAACAGGTTAACCAAAAAACTTAAGGGAAAAGCAGGGAAATGAGATCTCCACACAGGCTTTTAAAAGCTCCAGTATGTTCCAGGTAATATAGAAGGCTACACATGCACATTTTGTAAATGCACAGGGCATCATGCCTACTCAGCAAAGAGCACAGGAAGTAAAGACTAAGACAAAATCATAAAATGTCTATCTGAATATTAAACACATGGTCCAATACACACAGAGAGCAAAGAGCAGAACACTTACTGTTTCCAAGCACTTAAGAAAAAAATCTCTACTCCAACATTAGCTTGTCAACTAAACTAGGGAAGCATTTATTTACATGGAAATTAACAAAAAGAATACAGACTATGCAAAATGAAATTAGTTATCAGAAAAGTCACAAAACAAGCAGAAGGAACAAAAACATTCACAAACCCTGGGAATGGGAGAAACCCATTTTTAGAGATGCCACATGATTATTTAAAATATCCAATTACTTAACATATCTAATTTTCAACAAAAATTTATGAGGCATGCAAAGAAACAAGAAAGTATAGCACAAAGGAGAAAAAAACAATCAACAGCAACTGGAAGAAGCCCAAACATTAACATTAGACTTAAGAGACAAGACTTTTAAATAGCTGTTTTGAATATGTTCAAAGAACTAAAGGAAACCACACTTAAAACACTAAAATATAAGAATGATGTCTCATCAAATAGACTATCAATAAATATACAGAACTTACAAAAAATAATCAAAAAGGAATTCCAGAGTTGAAAAATATAACTAAAATTAAAAACCAACTGGAGGCATTCAAAAGCAGATATGAGCAGGCAGAAGAAAGAATAAGTGAACATGAAGACAGAAGAAAAATGAATGAAGAAAAATTAATAACATCTCAGATATCTGTGGGACACCATTTAGCAGACATCAACATATGCACAATGGGAGTCCCAAAAGGACAGGAAAGAAAGGGGCAGAAAGAATATTTGAAGAAACAACAATAAAAAATACCCCAAATTTGATGAAAAATGTTATGAAAAACAAATGGAAATGCAAACATTGCTCTGAAATCTTTGGGACAAGTAAAAGATATTCCAAGAGGGAAATTTGTAGCAATACAGTCATATTTCAAGAAACAAGAAAAATCTTCAATAAATAATCTGATCTTACACTTAAAGGGACTAGAAAAAGAAGCCCAAAGTTAGCAGAAGGTAAGAATAAAGATTAGAGTGGAAATAAGTGAAATAGAGACCAAAAAAACAAATCCATACACACACACAAAGATCAATGAAACTAAGAACTGGTTCTTTGAAAAGGTAAAATTGCAAAATGGTTAGCCAGAATCATCAAGGAAAAAAAAAAGATCTCAAATAAGTAAAATCAGAAATTAAAGAGAAGTTACAACTGACATCACAGAAATACAAAGGATTATTAAGATGCTACAACAAAAATGATGCCAACAAACTGAAGAACCTGGAAGAGACAGGGGATGAATTCCTAGAAATGTACAATCTGCAAGACTGAATCAGGAAGAAACAAAATCTGAGCAGATACTAATAATGAAACTGAATCAATACTCAAAAACCTCCCAACAAACAAAAATCTAGGACCAGCTAGCTTCACAGGTAAATTCTACCAAACATTTAAAGAAGAGCTAATACCTATCCATCTCCAACTATTCCAAAATACAGAAGAGGAAGGAATGCTTCCAAATTCATTCTACAAGGCCAGCATTACATGGATACCAAAACTTGACAAAGACACTACAAAAAAAAAAAATCACAGGTCAACATCCCTGTTGAACACATGCAAAAATCTTCAAAAAAATATTAGAAAACCGAATTCAATAATACTTAATGATCATTCACCACAATCAAGTGGGACTTATGCAAGGATGGTTCAATATTTGCAAATCATTAATGGGCTATATACCACATAGAGAAAATGAAGTATTAAAAATCTTACTGTCATCATAATAATAGATGAGGAAAAGGCACTTGACAAAATTCAACATCTATTCATGATAAAAACAAAGTGAGTATTGAGGGAACACACTTCAATAGGCTATATATCACAAACCCACAATTAATTATCATACTGAAGGGTGGAAAGTTGAAAGCTTTTCTTCTAAAATCAGGAACAAGACAAGGATGCCCAATCCTGCCACTTTTACTCAACATAGTACTGGAAGTCCTAGCCACACCCACAGTAAAGAAGAAGAAATAAAAGTCATCCAAATTGGTAAGAAAGACGTACAACTCACTGTTCATGACATGACACTACCCAGAGAAAACCCTAAGGACTCCACCAACTCCAACTATTAGAACTAGTAAATTCAGTAAATGTGCAGAATAGGAAGTTAATATACAGAAATCTGTTGCATTTCTATACACTAACAAAGAACTACCAGAAAGAGAAATTAAGAGAACAATCCCATTTACAATTGCATCACAGAGAATAAAATACCTAGGAATTAACTGAACTTAGGAGGTAAAAGACCTGTATTATGAAAACTTTAAGACATAAATGAAAGAAATAAAAATGACACAAATAAGTATGAAGGTATTTTGTGCTCACAGATTGGAAGAATTAATACTGTTGAAACATCCATATTACCCAAAGTAATCTACAGATTAAATACAATCCCCACCAAAATACCAAGAGCATTTTTCACAGAACTAGAACAAATAATCCTAAAATGTGTATGGAACCACAAAAGAACACAAAAGTCAAAGCAATCTTGAGAAAGAACAAAGTTGGAGGTATCAAAATCCCAGATTTTCAAGTTACACTATAAAGCCATCGCAATAAAAACAGTATGGTACTGGACTGGCACAAAAACAGACACATATGTCAATGGAGTGAAGTAGCCCAAACTTAAACCCATTCTTGTATCACCAATTAATCTACAACAAAGGAGGCAAGAATGTACAATAGAGAAAAGACAGACTCCTTAAGAAAAGGTGGTGGGAGAACTGGCAGCTACATACAGAAGAATGAAACTGACCACTTTCTTACACCATATACAAAAATAAATGTGAAAAGGATTAAAGACCAAAATGTAAGACCTGAAATCATACAACCCCTAAAAGAAACACATAATAAAGTCTCATATATCATCAATATTTTTTTGATCTGTCTCCTTAGACAAGGGCAACAAAGCAAAAATAACCAATCTGGACTAAATCAAACTAAGAAGCTTTGCATAACAAAAGAAACCATCAACAAAATGAAAGGGTAACCTACAGAATGGGTGAAGATATCTGAAAATAATATAGCCAATAAGGAATCAATATCCAAAATATATAAAGAACTCATATAACTCAACACCAAAAAAAAAAAAAA